TTTTTATGTTGTTCAAGAGCAATACAAAACTGTTTTGTTAACTTAAATATAGAGATATATTTTTTTTTTTTTTAATTATGTAGTCACAAAAAGTGAATTTTCGACAAAGAGTTATGTTTCTGCATAATGAGATTTTCTGTACAATACTGATTTTATGTCTATACAAAAAATATGCATAATTCCAATAATTTGGTATTAATTATTAATTTCTATTACTCGATTACGTAACTTCAGATTATAGTTTTTACCAGAAAAATGATTTTCTACGAATATCATAAATAATCATTTAAAATATTTTAACATTTGAATCGATTAATAAAACATTAATTTTGGGATCAATCGGAACAAAAAATCGTAACTTGTTTTAAACACTTGGTACAACAATATTTATGGATAACAACAAATTATGAACATACATTCACCGGGTGTATTATAATTATTTATTACAATAAAAGTTGATTGAGAAAATTATACCTAAACTGTATAATCTAGATTATCAATTAATATAGTAGATTATATTTTGTGTTTGAATTCAAAACGTTTTCAATTTCAACTCAAAGTGCCTATACCAAGCTTTACGTACTACCTGCAACTATTAATTGATAATATTTGTTTTATCTGTTTTATATATTGATAAAATAAAAAAAAATCAAAACAAAATTATTAAATAAATACGTAAATATGTAAATAAATAAATGCATTTGTTTTATATTAATAATTGGATATGTAGAAAAAAAAAAAAAAATGTACTCAATGCTTGTTGGAAAAAAAAAGTCCAGTACCTCTATATGGTATACATTAGTTCATATACTAGATTGCATTCACATAATATACCTGTTTTTGAAAGTATTAGGTACTTATTATTCTATATTTATTGCAGTTTTACAAAACGAATCGTAATACAAACAATGAAATACGTTTTACATGGAAGTAGAAAAGTTGAGTATTATATACGCGCATAAATTATAATATTATATGAAATTGATTCATAACCGAACCTGTGTGATTCATACGGTACCTAACGAAGTAAATAGTGAAATACATTCAGCTGTTTCGGGACGATAAATCGTATATTACAATTCTGTATCAATATTATAAAGTGCAATCTGCGTTCGTTATTTTTATAATAGGTAACCGCGGGGCAAGGAAAAGTAAAAACGATTTTATTTTATCGCCATCTTTGACCGGCATTATATGATATTATATCACACATATTATATCAAATCCGTACGATTTTAATTGGTATTCAAAACAATTATAATTATAACACCAAATATTATATTTTTATGAAAGTGATAAAATCTAGAATATTTCTAATACACGCTATAAAGTGTCAATCGAATATTTGTTATTTAAAACAGTTTGTAATAATGACAATACTTTCGATCATATAATATCGTTTTGTATCCTGTTGACACAGGGTGATTCCATAAAACACTAATATTTGTGTATTACCGTTAATCGTTCGTGCAGGGCTGGCGCTAGGTTTTGCGAGATCCTAGACAAAATATTCCAGAGGACCCGGAAAACAGCTCTTACGAATCAATAGTGAAAATCTATACAATTTACTCACCCCCCCCCCCTAATCGGGCATCGGTGGCTTAAGGGGCTTAACCCCTTAGAAATTTTAAAAGCCCCTATAAATTTAACAAAAGACTCCGAAATTAAAATGATATTTATTGTTGATGTTGACCTTTTGTTTTTGTTCATCGCTATAATATAACCCTGCCCCCTATAAACCAATCAAATGTCCACCTGTGTTCACCGCTTATCTTAGTTTGCAATTCTGTTTTTTTAATACATTTTTCGATGAATATAACACTACTTTTCTACTCGCTACTTTTTACATTAGTAAACTCTATCTTGGTAGATACCAAAATAAACATTGAAAAAAAAAACTATATAGATGTATAATAATATTAGATATAAATTGTGTATCTATTATTTTCAGTGCTCGAACTAGTGGAGGTGCTCGGCTTCATAGAGGAGCTCCTTCCCCTGCGTATCCCCCCCCCCCCCTAATTCAAGCAATGATTATAATATAATAAATAACAATTCTTTATGGCACTTCCGTAATTTTGACAGTTCAAAAGAAAATGAAATCGTACATTTGTGATTCAGTTTTATTCGTGCGTTTATCGATTAAAGCGAACATTGGGCAAAACCCACGGTTAACAAATAACTCGAGATTATGCATTACCAATACAGTATTATACTTATAATTATGTGGTTGTAAACAATTTAGAAATTCGTGAAATGTACGTCCGGCAGTATACATAAGTAGAATTATTTTTGCGAGATAAATAATTCAGATATGTACAATAAAAAAACGAACCTCGTACATAATAGTAAAACTAATATGAATATATCGTGAAAATGCGACGCTCCGTAAACCGCGATGCCCTGGACGGGTGTCCAGTGTGCCCCCTCCTCTTCCGCCGGCCGTGCGTTTGTACATTTTAGATTCTGAGCGAACCGAGGATTATATTGGTTTTACAATGTTTATTATTATTTATTATTTTATTTTTTTCCCGCGAACAACTTTACTGCCAGAAATTTCGCTCCGAGTTTCAAGTGTAGCACTTTTTTTGAAAGGAAATTCGACTGGTGTGGTACTTTTAAGAAGACGTTTTTTTGATTTTCTCAGGGGGTTTCATAATAAATGGAAAAAACCGCAAAAATTTACTAATGTATATTAGTTTCAAATCGTAAATATTACGGCCTTTCAAAACTTGTACAACCGAAATCTCAAAATCGTTTACCGTTAACAAAGATTACTCGTTGCGTATTCATTATACATTCCCCTCTATATCCTACCTTCCTAACTTCTCACTTACAGCATTGGCTCACCCATCGTACGAAGTATATCCGTGTATTTTTTTTTTTTTTAATGTTCTTTTTTTTGATTACTTACTAAAATGTTGTTCAATAAATGTATTATCAAGCGATATTTTAAATTCGTTTTATCTTATCTTATTATACTAATAAGAATACCATTAACGTACCTACCTAACCCATGTGATATGATTATTTGTTTTATTAACAATTACGGAAGATAGTAAAGTTATAGACGTTTTTTTTTTTTATAACATAGCAACCCAAAGGTATTAATTTACTAATTATAATATATTAATATGCGGTGCATAGATATCTCGTTCAATTTATATTATCAAGCGATTCGTTACTACTCACTACCGTGTACCAGGGTCAAAAATACAACAGATTTCTGGGAACACGCTTTTTAATTCAATTTATAGAGTTGATCGGTTTCCATGGCCCAAACAAAAACCTGTGGGGGCGTAGCTCTATATACACTTTACATACCTTAAATATTTATGTTATTTATAAAAACGTGTACTAAAAATTATCAACACAAAATAAAATATAAAAGTAAAAATTTAAAAAAAACGTAATAATATAAAACAATTTAAAATAAATATAACATGCCGTGTATTGGTTAGCGTTGGAGATCATTAATTGATTGGCTGTTATTTAATGTTGTTTCTACATTTACATTACACATTATATAGAACCCGGTACACACATTTGTAATTTAGCGGACACACTTTGATTTTCAGTGGACACACTTCGCGTCAGGGGTGACATTGTTATAGGCCCTGTCGTATGCCTACTTACAATAAACGCGTCTACGAAATTTAATATAAACTCCGACGATTATGAAGCGGTGTAGCACACCCAGTGCATAAATACAATTGTTTTGTAGGCAGGTGTACCGTTTTATTATATAACCACCTAAAATATGTAGTTTAAAAGCAAATCGAAAGTTAAACGTCAAATCTATATTATTTGCGCATCGACAAAAACGATCTATAATATAGTACAAGAAATAATTTTTTTTTTTTTCAAACCTTCTAAATTTAAATGAAAATATAAACAGTTTAAATTGTATTTTAGACTATTGAGAAAAAAAAAAAAAAAAACGGTTTGTCATACTGTTAAACGATGTCGAAACAAACATCAATTAACTAGGTATCCGTTACTTCCCCTGACTAACTGTGACTAAATTTGGGTTCATTAAAATTAATTGACGATTATATTGAACAATACACATAATATTGTGAAATTATCATAAATTAATTTTTATTCGGAACTAAAACGAAGTCATAATCGAACGTAAAAGTGGGTTTTCGACGAAGCGGACAGATGGAAAGAAAGAGACGGGATGGGTAATAAAATGAATACATTACAACATCGCAGGTAACAACTGCACGGTGAACGCGACGCGCGGTGGTGTGGGAAACGGAATTCTCGCGCGCAGAAAGTTCGCGGAAACCGATGGTGCACCGCGGACAGTGACGACAACCCAACCGAACCTAACCTAATGCGCAGGCCGCGGGGGCGTCGACGACCATAGATAACAACGACGACGACCGCGGTCGCGCGAATACCGCAGTATTACGTGTTATGACGTCACAACGCATAACGTCTTGTTAGGGGGCACGTTGTAAAACTTTAACGTCGGTTTCTCCGGTAATGGTGACGGCGTCGGTGGTGCGATAGCCGTATGTGGCGCGGGCGGTGGCGGCAACAGACAGCGCTGCGGTCGAGGGTCAGCGAAGGTCGCGGATGCCGACGACTACGACGACGACGACGGTACAGGCTGCGACCGCCCGCCACAGCAATACTCAAGTCGGCCGTACCGAGACCGTTCTACACAGGGGGGGTGAAAAACACCACACACACACACACACACACACATACATACACTTGACCGTCGTCGTCCTCGTAGCCGTGCCGGTTCCGTAGGAAAAAAACACAAAATCACGCGCGCGGCGTTCGCCCGTCTACCCGGGAGATTGTTGTACGTTATATAGTGGACGGACACGACGGACGTATTTTTTCGGCCGCCGCACCAGCCCACCAGTTGATTCGCGTTTTTCGTACCGGACGCGCGCGCGCTCGACCAACCGACCGACCGCATCCGACGCAGCCCGGCCGCCGACGCTACCGCCGCCGCCGCCGCCGCCGCCGCCGCCGCCGTTTCATACCGATACCGCCGCCGTCGCTACCGCTGCAGGGTCAGAACACTCAGAACAATCGCATCCCATCGGCGCGCGCGCGTGTCTGTCCGCGTCCGTAGATAGTCGTCGTTCGTGTTCCGTCTGTCACACGCGCCCGCACCACGTACTCGCGCACACGTATAAAAACGCACACGGGCGCGCGCGCACCACCGCACCACCGCGTACACACACGCTTCGCGCTTTAATACCGTTACCGTAGTGCGCCGGCAGAACAGTGTTTTGTTTTGTTTCGTTTTTTTTCATTTTTTTTTTTTATTTGTTTCTTTATTTTTCGCGGTACAAACCATACTATTTCGCGACACTTGCGGCACGCATTTATCGTCATCATCGTATTGGATTTTTTGGCAAACACCGTCCGAGGAAAACGTCGTTTCCGGTGAGTAGAAAGAAACAGAAAAAAAAAAAACACAACTACCTCTACTGCAATAAATTCTCTTCTCGCCGAAGAAACGATTATTATTACAATTACGTTGTCGCGATATTTTTACGCTCGCAGGGAGCCACTACCCGCCGGCGCCGCCCGTCCCGCGATTTATTTCACGCGCGAAATATCCACGCCCGCGAATTTTTTGGCATTTTATTCTATTAGGGATTATTGTTACCCCACCTACCCGCCCGCCCGCCCGCGCGCTCTCCAATCGGTTGGCGGGAAGGGCTGCTGCAGCAGCGGGCAGGTACCTACAACACTCAACACACGCGTTCCGATGCAACGGTTATTTTTACGACCGAGGTAATTTTTTTTCCCCCTCTCCGCCGCATAATATTTTAATTCTTTGGTAATTCTCACGGCTTAAGTCAATTTTTGGCATTTTGTTTGTGTTTTATTTTCCACCGTAATTTTCTGCCTCTATATTTTTCGGTCTGTATGACACGAGTCATACTGTACACTTATAATTCGCATGCATATACCTAATCTAACAACGTGTTATTATTACTGACAACCCGGAATGTCACAAGTCGCTGCGATTGTTTTGGGTGAAAAACGCATAAGTAGAACGCTATAATATTTAAGTCACGCCGATTATTAGCAATGTTACGCCATTGTGTCGTTTAGTCATTTTTGAAAATTTAATTTGCTTTCATTGAGAACTATAAAAAATCTACTCGATCCCTTCTTCCCCGGAACCGAAAATATAGCGCATTCCTTGTTCGTTTGATTATTTTGTACACTTGCGCTTAAAAACATTATAAGGAATCTACTTGACCTCCACAATTAAACAGGCACTTAATGTAATAACAGTCTGAGACGAATCCAGGGGGAGGGGGGCTAGGAGCCCAGCGCCCCTCCCTCAGACATATTATTTCTAAGGTTTTTTTTTTTTTTTTTTTATAATTCTATAGATCCCGATATTACTATACTCCAATCGCTGGTGTGTACGATAAAACAATATATTATATTGTATTTGTGTTGGAAAAAAATAGTTGCCCCCACCCCCACCCCCATAGATCGTCGCTCTGGATCCATGCCCGGATTGACGTTTGAGAATTTATCGCCGAAAATCTACAAAATACGTCTGTACACGATTTTATAAAACATCGTTGACGAAAAAAAAAAAACAAAAAAATCAAATACGTATTACGTGTATGATGCGCACATTTCGCATAGTCGAGTACGCTCATTTAGCGTCCGCCGTGCACCTGTGCGCCGATACAATTATTGCCGTTAGCACATTCGAGTAACTTGTACTTTCTTGCGTTACACAACGCGTCGCGTTTGTTGGGACAGATTTATTATTAGAATATATTAAATTATAACGAACGGATTATTATTCGTCGGCCAACAACAATAGTTGGCACTTTTAACCGCGTCACGGTCAAGGTGTCAATCTTTGGAAAAGTTACAATCTATAATACGAATTATCTCTCGTCTTCCGGCTTCGCGAATTTCAGGAATATAATTGTAAATATATGTACGCGCGCAGTTAATATAACGACGGTTTATCGCCGGCGCACAAATACATTTCGCCAAATTCAGTACAAAAATTGTAGCCCCGGCGAAAATGAATCGATTAACGAACATTTTTACGGTGAACCGTAACGAGTTTTCGACGGCGGAAAATCGTTTAAAGTCTCGGCGTTACGTCCGTTGAATAGCGAAAAGCGAACGCGCGCAGTCTCGTGTGGCGGGGTTTTTTTTTTTTTATTCGCCTTGCAAAAACGACAATTATTATTTGTGGAGGGCTTCGGTTCGGCTCGGTGTACTATTGTCGTTCACGGCTTTCAACGATTTATTGGTACGCGGTAAAATATTAATATGCCCACGGCGGCGGTGGCGACGAGACGAACAGTGCGGAGGGATGACGCCGAAATTAAATATTATATATTCAGTGCGGTCGCGAGAACGTTAAATATGCCATTTGATTATACGAAATTAATGTTGTGCAGCATTAGCTGCAGCGCGCGGTATCGAACGGAAGCGAAATTTGAAAAAAAAAATAAAAAAAACCTGTTTCCCCCCCCCCCTGTCGACCGGACATGCCCGGAAATAAACAAGAAAAAATAAAAAATATTATCGATTTTCGCGTTTTCAAGACGAACTCCCCGTGTCGCACAGCACTCGGTCGATTGAATTTCCCCTTTCGAAGCTTTGCACGCACGCTCTACCGCCCTGAAAAACTGTAACTAATAAGAACGAAACCGCGAATTGTTCAGCGAGATCGGTCGAGTCTACGGGACACGGCCTACAACGTTGGTTTGGTTGACGTTCGCGACGTGTGTAAAAAAAACGTCCGTCCTCTTTATATTATTGCGTAGAATACAGACGTGTCGGTACTCGAATGACGGTCGTAAATTTAATAATTTTATTACGATACGGAGGTGTTTTTTGTTATTGTTATTAAAATCGTTTATGTGTGCGTGTGTCTAAATAAATTTTCGACCAGATATCTCGTCCCGAATTTTGAAAAGTGATATTTTCTCCGAATGAAAATTTTGCCTGGTTGGTTTGTGAGTAAGCAATTTTCTTTTCGTCGTGATTGGGGAAACCCGGAAAAGGTTATGGCGTACGGCTTCATTGTTTTCAATTTCGGTAAAATGTCCAAAACGCTCTGGCGTTTTTATTGATCTATTCGTAAGCATAAGAGATTTTCGGGTTTTTCAATTTTTTATTCGGTTTAATGTTGATGGGATTGTTTGGCCACACACAGAAATACTTGAAAATTTAACACGGCGTTCGTTATAAAATTATCCGGTAAAACGAAAAACAATTAATCGTGTTATTCGAAAATGTCTTATTTATAATACTATGCTATTGTATTTCCGCAATAACCGCGACCTCAGCCTTGTTTCGTGTGTATGTAAAACTCGTTTAACGAATAAGTATCGAAATTCCATAATAATTTTATTAAGATATTTTACCGCCGCCGTTATAATTAATTATTAGTTTGCGGCCATCATTATGGTACCCGCATTCGAGTTATTCGCTCGCGGCGATATTTATCTAACAATATTATTACTTATAATTTGTAACTATTTGAATTTATTACGGGGTGAATTTGTACGATTATTACCACTATGATGTTTACACGGGTGTAGTGTAAATTATCATAATTTCAATACAGAATATTGGAAATTCTAATTTAGAATGATATATCGACAGCATAAAAAAACAAAAGTCACGATAACTTTTTCGTCCAATCAAATTCGTCCGTGTCAACACGAAACAGTAAAATAATAACAATAAACCGCTCATCAAAATCTGAAACTCCTTTTGAAACTATTTTTCCAAAGGGTACCTGATCTTTCACTTAATAAGGCGTCAGCAGATCAGCATTTTTTATTTATTATTTTTATTTTTTTTGCAAAGATTTGTCTTTTTTCTAGTATTAGAAAACTCACGAATTAGGAGATTTCCTGTGCTTTTCTCGGTTATTATTGTAAAATATGCATTGTTATCAGTAACGCAACTAGGATATTTTCTAGAAGAGTGTAATTCATTTTCGGATACGCCAATAAAGTGTTCGACTGAAAAAACGTTTACGTATCATAGATACAAACCAAATATAATTTGGGTAACTTTCAAATGTTGAGGTCAAATTATTTTTGTATAAAAAAGCTTAAAAAAATATTTCCTCATGTTTAAATGGTTTTTGGATTCAATACTGGAAATTATAATAATTATCATCAGTAGCGCACGCAAGATTTTTTTCAGGAGGGCATTTTATTTATATAATTTTCCAGAGAGGGATAGCACATATTATTAGTATAGTACTGTCATTATTATTACTGAATAAAGGATTTTTGATCAAATTAAATTTTATTTTATTCTATGGTATAAGATAGTATGTTGTCAAATGTAAAACTTGATTTAAAAAAATTGAAGGAAGAAATATCGGGAGGGGTTATGATCCCCTAACCCCCCCCCTCTGTGTACACCACTGGTTATAATTACAACTACTGAAATAAAAATTATTTGTTATAACATCGCTTATGTTTATGTTAATTATGAGTGAATATTTTATAGGACGGACATACTTCACACGTGGGTGTAGCCACTGTTGTAGATGGGAAATTGGGAAGGTAGGATACAAACGGGAATTTAATGTATATCCGAATGAATGCTTCAGTGTAAAAATATATCCTACGATTTCTTTATTTAAGCTACCAAAAATTAATATTATTTAGCTTGGAAATTAGCAGTTAGTAATGTGAATTTAGTCAGGAGATAGCATTGTAAATCGTTGGTTTGCATTGCGACCCCCTCACTTGTCTTTTATACACTAATCTATGGCCACTGATAAACTGCTCGTGACCAGTCCATTATATCTTAGTCTATAGTTTACAGACAATAATTATCTATAAACCTTACCGATAAACTGCATAATATTATTAACTAGCGTTTATGATTCCGATTATAAGATGACATGATACCTGCATGACGTGCTGTCTCCGTCTTATAAACGTACGACGCACACAATTTTCGTTCAGCAAGAACGATTTTGTGCTGTTAGTTTTATTATTAGAGTGAATTGACCTATTATCAAGCTTGAAGATTAGAACATTATCAATGCAACTACATCGTTGGTTTTTACCGATATTTTAATTTTTAAGCGATGTAATGAGAGCATGGGAAATACCTATCGCAATAAATTTAAAAACGTTTTTTTGAAATTAAAATATTGAAAAATCGACGTAATTTTACGGATAATGTTCTTGTCTATAAATTTGATAATATAGATCAATAAATTCATTAAGTTATTAAAACAAACAGCACAAGGGTTTGTCTCTGCCAAACGCAAATTGTCTGTCGTAAATACATGTGTAAGGTTCCTAAACTTAGAAACCTAAACTTATAACCTTAAGGTTCCTAGACGTAGACGGCACATGGCGTGGAGAAGCACTTGCGAGTACCTTAAACTTGCTCTAGATTTCGATTTCGATCGAATAATATTATGTGTAGGTATATTAATAATTTTATTATAAATTTATAACACTTCTAAAAACTATAAAAAAAAAAAAAAAAAAACGGGAAATGTTCGATAATAGTATAGAATATAGATACTCACGAAGAACACACTCGTGCATAAAATTAACACTTTAGTATTCTAATTAGTATAACGATATACTTAGCGAAAATATTATGTGTATAGTATACCATCGTATAGATAATTTTTTTATTGTCTTCGATTTGTATTGCTTGTAATTATAACTATAAAGCTGAGAATTTATTACAATAAAAAAAAAAACACTTTAAATAGGACAAAAAGCAGCTCACAACACTCTTACAGTTAAAAAAAAAAACACTGAAATGTAATATTTTTAAAATGTATACCTAGGTTATAAACTTAATTAACTAAAATCATGTTTTATCGTTCAGAATAATAGTAATAAATTATTTAAAAAAAATTATATACATGGGGAGAGGGCAAACACCTAACAAATTTAAAAAGTAAAAAAAAACCTGTGGGACTAAAAATAATCAACAGAAAATTGAACAGATTTACTGGGGATAAAGAAGAGTGGAGGAATTATGGGAAACTACAAACCTAACCTTAGGGTTGAATACTGAGAGAGAAAGAGAGAGAGAGAGAGAGAGAGAGAGAGAGAAGAACTTGATTTCAAACCCAAGTCGTTGTTACATATAATTTGAACTTTATACTAAGAATGATATATTATTATCATTTATGTCTTACAAGTTGCAACAAGATAAAAAATTTGCGTTCGCTACAAGCGTTCTACGGCATCAGCAATGATAACACCTGAAATATAATCCGATGTACGTAGGTATATAACTACCTACTTATGCAGTATATACACACATATTTAATTATACTATAAGTATTATGACACATTGCAAATGTTCCTAGTTTTTATTATTAAAATTTTTTTTTTTTTTACTTACGCAAACGTGAAATTCACGTTTAATAAAATATAATATGATGATTACGTAAGATGAATCTCTCACCGTATGTGTCGGCGACTCTCGTATATACGATTACGTGTCATCGCGATAGGTTTGTGTCGCTTATAATAATTTGTGTTTCTTCAATTCATTTCGTCTTTCAATGATAATTATAATATTGTGCTCTTAAAAACAAACGTACACACTTATACTTCCGGTTTCCGCACGATTATTTTTCATTTCCATTCTATAATATGCCTTTTGATTGTCTATGCAATATACGAGTATTGCAACATCACTCACGGAATTTTGACCTATACAATGACTGCATGGTACAAGTACTATTATAGTAAACGATTATTTATTTTTTTTATTGTGCCCAAACAACGTTCAAAATATGCTCGTCTAATGTATGTAATAATTAAATCAACTGACTGACTGATATATCAACGCGCAGCCCATATCACTGTCAAGAAACTTGAAATTTCGCACAGGCTTTTCGTAAACTATAAATAGATAATCACTAAGAAGGGATATTTCAAAATGCAAACCTTAAGGGGTTACAAAAGGGTGTACATTTTGTGTTTTATGCGGAGACAAATTAAAAATGAGTAAAACACAAAACTATAATATCAATATGCATACCTTTAGATACAAATATCATAGTATGGTTCATATTTGGCCCAAAAATTTAGCTATTATTCGGGTTACTATAATATAAAAAGTGTTCAAATTGTACTTCGTACAAAAATTAAATTAAAAAACAATCAAATAAAATTACTTTTGAAATTTCATTGACCTACCTATATTGACTATATATTAAAATTTCTCACGTTTTGCAAAATTCTTTATTTAATATAATATTAAACATCCTGTTTACATACATAACGTATCTATATAATACTTATAATCATTATCTAAACATATACGAAAACTGTTTATGTATACAAGTGAAAAATAAATACGTACCTATTGTAATTTGACTATTGATACAATACGATGTACGTAGTCACGCCCCGATATTCATCGTCTTCGGTCTTTTGGACCGTCGCGATGAAAGTAACAACGACGCCACACATGTCTCCCCACAGGTAAAATAAATTACGATTCCATTGTACATCGTAGCATATAAACTATATCGTATATTATATTATTTAGGGATGTCTTTTATACACTTTTAAAACGTCCCTATTGATTTCGTATCGGAATTCGTATCCGAGTAACGCGCGTCGGCGTCGGGGGATAGAGCTGACATGACCCCAGGTACCTACATAATATATATACATGTACCTATATTATCCATTAACATGTCAAAAAAAAAAAAAAAACTAAGTATATAATAGTTAGGTACGTATATACTCGTATTATAGGTGTGGTCACATTTTCTGGTTCGGGGGACGGACGCTGCGGCTTGAAATAATGTTCAGTGGGCTGTTACAATGAAAAATAATGTTCCGAATTTATAACGCAGGTGTATTAAACGAGTATTTTCAACAATGACTGGCGAACAGAACGACATTACAACCATAAGTCTAACTATAAGTCCCGAAGCAGGGCTCGGAACTTATAACGTTCAAAATCAACAAAAAAAGCGCAACTTCATTCCTGAAAAAATACATTCAAATTTCACGTATGAACTCGTTGTAACATAACGTCAGTTCCATAGCCATTTTCTAGATTCAATGACACGCCCAAAGAAAAAAAAAAAAAAGTGAATGCTATAAATTCCGAACCCTAATTGTAACTATCACGTGATATTGGTAAAAAATAATAATAATAACTGGTCCCTATTAAAATATCTGCACGAAAAAGTTTTCGATATAATATAGAAAATAATATAATGCGCATGGGTATTATCTGTATTTACGAAATGTTGGATAATTCTAGGGGAATTTCGTAGCACCTATACATTTCCTTACGGTATTATAGTTTTAATTATGTTCGTGATCGTTGTAAAATTGATTCGATCGCGATACACTCGAGGCAGTCCAACCATCAGCACACACCTTACAACAATTAAGACGCCCCTTGAGGATACCTGTCAATCTGCGTACGGTAATAACCGGTGAACAAAATAATTGACATACCCTGTTTCAACGTGTGCATGCGTTATTCAATTATAAAATCATTGCTCGGCGAAACGCAGACGCGTGCGCCGAAGTCATTTACGGACGTCACTTCCCCTCCCCCCCCCCGGCACACGTCACAAATAATTAATACGTTCGAAACTACTTGGACATTTTCAAAACTGCGTCGCCAATTAAATAATTTCTATACAACGGCGATAAGCCACGGATATGAGCCAGAAGGCATGATACATTATTGTCTATGTTACACGCATTGTGTAATATAGGTACCTATATATTTAATGCGAGCTTATAAATACATTTGAGACGATCAAACGACAGATCAGTTGCTATAAAACATACTGTATAATATATTGTCCGACGGCTGTGTTCAAATTTAAAAAAAAAAAAAAATCGGGTTCAATAATATTATACATTTCCGTTTCACCTAATATTAACTACGTACACTTAACTTATCTTATAATAATTTCAAACGATCAAAATCCTTCACACTGTGCAGACATGGCAGAAAACGAGAACCGGAGGAAAGCAATTTCGGTTGTGCAATTAAAATAATATACAATTTCATATACCAAGGTAATAAATATTACAAAAATGTTGTTTTTTTTTTGTTTTTATTTGTTTGTTATGAAATATGTTGTGTACTTATTCATCTTATCGAGTAATATTATTAGGGAATAGGCATACTACAGTAATTGCCCGTGAGTCGTAATATTCAATGACGAAATATAAATAAGTGGCGATTTTTCGTTAGGTTCTGTTGTTTAAACATATTTGGTAACAACGGTGTAGTTGTTTGTTTAGAGGTAGTTTGTTTAGGTGTAATTGTCTGTCTATACGCGATTATGTTTCGTTCGTGTATACGCACACTAGAAAAGTATGGACTATTTTGTATAGCGCGCGTACACCGAAATACATTTCCTTACGGTCCAGTCGAAATAAGTTGTCTCGTCTTCGCGGGTTGATGTTAGGTACAAATAATTGCATCGTAAAAATGAAGGTGATATAGTTTCCTGCGGACCATTAAGTAATTAAGTTCAATTTATCTATAAGCGAACGGGATATTATTCGCGCGTGGTGTACGGAATAATAAAAAAAAAAAAAAACAAGTGCAGTGTTGTGGACCACGGACAACCGGGACGACAGTGGGAAACGAGCAAATGATTTACAACAGGATACATACATTCATGTGTACATTACATACGCATAATATTTATATTATAATACTTGTATGTGCAATCGTGCCCTTTTAAAACACACACAAGGCGGGCCCTTATTTACACGTGTTTTCGGGTCACCCTGCCGTAAGACGATTTATTATATGTATGAAAAAAAAATACAAATAAATAATATCGAATCCCACACAATTGGGGTTTCTCACGTTTTCCAATATGTCTATACACACTTCGCATATATAATATTATATATTATATGTATATGTGCATATGCGATATGCCATATATATCTACTCCGCCGAGTAGCGTACGAGTTCGTATACAGTAAACCTACTACATTATGACTACAACTGCAGCAGCAGCAGGAGCACGATGACATTCGACCTTTTATATACATTTCTTTTGGGTTATCGGGTAAAGATTTACGCCGTTGTCGTACTATACCACCCAGTTTGTGTTCTATAACGTCATATTGTATGTGTCGGAGACTATTATTTAAAAATTGTGTACCATCTGGTCATGTAAAGCATTCAATTAACTCGAAAACCCGCATTGTCCTATTGAATCGCATCATAATGTATAGAAAAACGGACCCAGAGGCGGACCAAAGTACCTATATATATATATATAATATATATATTGTTTTCGTGCGTTAGCATATGGTCCGATAGTCGGCTTTTGTTCGGTAAAAACTAAAAATTTGCTTCTGGCAGTTAAGTATTTACTGTATTGTGCGCCTACCGACGATAATAATAACATATCGATAAATGTATACATTTTATAAATTTTTCCACTGTAAACATAATTAGGTGCCTATAACATGTATCTACCTACCCCAAACTCGAAAAAATACGCATTGTCTGGGCGCATTTTCTGATAATATCATATTAAAGTTTACAGGGAAAATAATAAGAACAAATCGCGTGTATCTTCGTCATTGTCAAATGCGTCAAGTGAAAGCAAAATTAACGTCATTTCGCCGCATACAAGGTATATAACACTGTAATATTTACGACTAGAAATTATAATCCAGTTTGTCGGTAAAATAGTATTTTGTTACAACTCAATAACAAACATAATATTAATTAGCTCTAGGTTGTACTATTTCAACTTGGACATATTATACGGTTTAAAAATTATTAGTTTGTACCTGTAAGATAAGATCCGGAACGATAATAAAATATAGAATCGATGATATATTATTGTACAATTTTATGTATTAATACTATATAGGTACCGATATAAAAAATTAACGATATCTATAATATATATAAAAATTTAATAATCACGAACGATAATAATTATGACATAATAATATAATAGATATAATAATTATTATTGCGATCAGAGTTCAACTTCGCTGTGAATTTCGATAAAATGTAACGTCCACGTTTTCTCCGCTTATCTAAAATCTGTACCATAATATAACATGTGCGGAGAGTGCATCTTCATTATGTGTTCGATATTTTTCTAATGGCTTTGTATCGACTTATTAAAATGTAAAACGTTAATTTATTTAAGAGGACGCTACACATAAATCGTGTCGTCTCCGACTTGCAAATGCACGACATGCCAAATTTGCGATCAGCTGAACCTATTTCGGGCTGTTAGTGGTTACGTTGGCTTTTTCGTCATTTTAATTTTTAAACGAAAAACGAGCGTTTGAAATATTACAATTTAAAAATTAAAATTATCAAAAAGAAATAACGTAAGTTTGATTATAGTTCAGTTCATTCCAAAACTGAAAGCACAAAATCGGTTCTGCTGAATGCAAATGCCGTGCGTGGTGTTTATGAAATATGTGTTTGTGTGTGTGTGTGTAATAATAACTTATTCAGTTAGATTTAGGCGTGACACATTGCTGTATAATTCCATGAATTGTGAGTTACTAATTATTTCCTCAGTCTGCCTCCCGCGTAATTCAGCAACAAAGGCGTTCCGTACTTTCACGAATGCGAATCTCTGGTGGATTTTAGAGCAAACGTACCACAGCTGTTACACTATTTATAAAGTAGAGTGTTTGCTATAAATCTATTAAATGATTTTTTAATATTTTAATTTCTTAATAGGTAAGCTATTAATAGTCAAAATTAAATTAAAACACGAATATTCTGATAAAAAAACGAAACTATTAAAAAAAAAATCGTTCGTACGATCTCTATAGTAAATACTCTTCTTTATAAAATATATGATAAATCACTTTGCTCTAAACTTAATCGCAGAGTCGCAATCGTAGACAGGAGTAGACACGTAGTCAGGATTTTTTTTGTGGGGGGTTCCAAACATAAATTTATCACCAACTATAAATAACCTTACCAATAATCTGATTTTTTGGTGAGAAACTTAAATTTCTGATTACGTGCCTGATTTACTATGCTAGTGACGAGGCCTCTTAACAATACACGACGCGTCGAGTTTCGTGATCCACCGGTGTCACCACTCGTCCACAAATTTTAAAATGTACCTATAAAATTTATTATACTTCACGACCTTCCGTAAGTTAAAACGTTTTAATCAAGAAATCAATTATTACTCGCGTTCTAAAATACAATGTACTTGATACTACGAACTACAAAAATATTCTCTTAATTGATATTATGTATCTGTTATCTATATTTTAATAAATTATTAATATATTGACCTTAGCTTATTCTTTGATGTTTTCAAATAAATACCGTCGCAAAACAAATTATTTAACGTGGCGAACAAAACTAATATGTATAGTATACGTATATATTTTTTTCTTTATCGACCGGTCAAAGTTATAATTTTTTCATTAGTACCTATCTATTTCATTAATGTGTGTATCATAGTAAATATTTTCGAAATTATATGCGTTTTGAATATCCCAGTAGGCATACAAAGATATTATCATCGTTAATGAAACTCCTAATGTTGGAATTTCATTAATGTCCAAAGGTACTAACTGTTGTCTGACACCACAGTGACACACCTTATAAGGTATCAAAACCATCACATACCATATAATATCAAAATGGTAAATTATTGTTCCTATGCTAGAGAATAATTTGCCACTATGATGTCTTATATATAATAAAGTTATATAAATTTAATTGCTTATAAATAGGCATTCATCATTGACGCAATACTTACGAGTATTGTCCTAAATTATAGGTATGGGTACACGGTAGTATTAATGCACACTTAGTATTATTATTTCTATAGGTTTACTAAACGTACTTCACTTTACGAATATTATTGTTTTCGCTGAGAATAACAGTCCCAGGGAAGGTCTTATATTAATTTCGTATAGTTTTCCATACAAGCAATTTTTAAAATACACACACTAATGCACTCTTATTAAAAATACATAGATACACTTATGCCATTAAAACCAAAATTATTGATTAAACAATCAATTTCAAAAAAAAAATGGAAAACAATGATATAAGATAAAATTGAATTAAGCCCTTCTTCCCTATCACCAAAGACAAACATACGCATCTACGAGTATCACACTTCACATAATAATATCTATTATCATAAAAATATCGTGACAGCGGCCAAGATGTAATTACCCGAGCCAAAAAAAAATGTAATAATAATACGAATTAAAAGATTTTTTTTTTGTTTTTGTCTCGTTTCTCTCTTTAGTAGATATTTTAATATCTACTTATTACATTTTTAATAACCTTCAACGCAAAATTATAGCTACCTATTATTATTATTTACATTGATCGCGTGATGATTTTTCGACTTACGCAGTTACGCGTGTACTATTATCGTCATATTATTACCAAAATGTACGTCATTACACGGTTTTTGTTGGTCAAATTTGAAATAAATCAATCTAATTTTAATTTCTTTATAGTTCATAAATCATAATATATTAGCAAGCATTACGCAAGAGAAATCATCTGAAATTAATATTACCTACCCATGCACTATAGTATTTTCACCGAGGAAATCTATCTAATAACGTTAGACTAAAATAATTCCTAAAGAATGCCTATTTTAAATCGATTTTAATTATTACTGGTTAGTAATAATTACTATTATTTTAAATTAAATACCTTATGTTAAAATAATGTGGTTAATTTTAGATACGGGGTCATGGCTATTATAGGTTATAATAATAAGTAAGTTAAGCGTTGCCTAAGGAGTATAAAGGCGGCATAATTTAAGATACGGAAACAAATTTAAAAAAAAAAAAAAAAAATTGTATACATGTTATGCTTGTGTTTTATTACTGACTGTATAATAATTTTGATCCTTGTTTATGTATAGAGCGCAGTGTATTTAATAATTATTAATCAGAAATACCTATATTTACTGATTATAATATTAACGAAAATGAATAAAAATATTATAAAATTATCATAACAACTTTTAATTTTATACGGTGATTCGTTTATCGTTAAATACTCATTATCTCGGTAAGTATGAACTTTTTTCAGAATCTGTTTTATAGAAAATTTGATAAACTGCAAGCAGCTCTACAATTTTACATTTACATTATATTTCGTCACCCTAATTTTGGGGGTGAAACGACTACTTACTTTTGATTTTAAAATAATAACCTATATTCAAAAATCCATAAACAGAGTATTAGTTTAAAGAAATTTCGGTGTTAACATTTTTAATTTCTGTCTACTCATTGATGAGATATTCCACTATTAAGTTTGGGTCAGGGAAGAGTAGTGGAGCATCATTTGTGTGGCGGCACGGCGTTCGGCGTTTCAATTATGCACCACTACTCTCCTTCGACCCAAACTTAAAACTGGAATATATCGTCAATGAGTTGACAGAAATCAAACATTTTGGCATCAAAATGAGTTTAAACTATTACTCCATCTATTTACGGTATTTTCAATATAGGTTACCATTCGAAAATCAAAAATTGGGTAGTCGTTTCACCCCCAAAAATAAGGGTGACAAAAAAATAATAATAATAATGTAACAATTTAGAACTATTTGTTTCTTGAGTTTTCAAAAAAAATTTCAAAAATAGTAATACTTTTCGAAATAATGAGTGTTTAACGATAAAAGGATCACCCGGTATTTCATTAAAAACGATTATATTATTATAATTATACGTAATTATTATAATCGGGAGTTTATGTAGCCATTATATTGTCGGTGCTTTGACATAATAAAATTGAAAATCAATAACAAAACGTAATAATATTACGTTCGCCGTCTATAGAGAAATAACAAAATTGTTTGCGAAATTATTGAAATGTTGCGGTTTTACCACTCGAATATGTTGTCCTTAGGGTCAAAATACGGAAGGAGGAAAATTTGAGCTCGGTTTCGTATAACGAATTGTTATTATAGGTATCAGGTATACAAGTGTGTTGTATCCTACAGTAGATCGGTACGTTAATTGTAGACACGGATAGCCTTATTCCTACAGATGTTTAAATTAAATAAAGTACATCATCATTTAAAACGTAGTTATAATTACACATTATAATGTTTAGTTTCCAAATAGACAACATAAACGGTTCGTGGATAAATCTATTTATTATACTATCCTCAGCCGGATATTAACTATAATATGGTTAATGGTTATGTTATTTTTTTAAGCAGGATATTATAATACGTTTTACTATGAAAAATAAAAATGTAATACTTATTGTATCGATGCGTAATGCATAGAATTTTAATGGGCATGTTCTTTTTTCTTTTTTTAGAAAAACACTCGATATTACATTGGCATAGGTAAATATTATTCGAAATATCTAGTGAACAAATAGACAATATTGCGTATTGGTGCATTTAAAATTATAAAAACAAAAAGAAATTCTTAAATTCCTAAATCACGAAAATTCATTAAAATCGTAAACATGTAAAAACGTATTAAGACACGTATACAAGTAGAACTTTTCACTGTGGGTATACTTTAGATAACAATGAAAAAAAATAACTTGACAAAATGTTGTTAAATGTAAAAAAGACCTTTTAGCCAAAAGTTAATAAAAAAAAAAATTAACTCGTTAAATGTCAGAAATAATACGTGCAAAAAATAATGGTAGGGGTAATATATTCAATATTTAGTTTAATGGTTCGATTATTTATCTTTTTATTTATTTTTATTCGCAATCATGTATAATGAGTTCTATATTATATCACGTATATGAGAATTTGAAAAAAAAAATCAATCAAATCAATTATTATACTCGGCTTCGGCCGGGTCAACGTTAAAATATTTATGAAAATGAACTATACCTACAAACAATTGAGATAATACAGCGCAAATTACACTAATTAACTATTATAATAAAAATAACAATATTATCTAATTAAGGAAAATTAATGGTTTTTATAAAAATTCATTTTTTAATTAGTAAATTCTCTACGCCGTTGTTGATGCATACAGAATATTAGGTTTCATTTTAAGGTTCGACTTACATTGGTTATATTTATTATGTAAATGTTTGATAAAAAAAATTATGATAAAAATGTTATTAATCTTGCTCCAAATTTCTAGAGTAAAATCTTTTCCAAAAAATTACCGTATTAATGATTTCATTATTTTTGATTTTATTTTTATTATTTTTTTTTTTTTTTTTTTTTTTTGTGTCCTTAAGGTGGAAAATCAGTTTGTGATGAAAATCATACTAATTAGAGCATTTTAAAACATGTTTAATCGAACTTCCCCCAAAATCGTTTTTCGTTAACAATATTTTATCGCCGCGTAGACATAAATTAAACAACACCATGTATCCTATACCTTCCTAATTTCCCACCAACAGCAATAACACATCCATCAGCGGTATCAGCAATTTGCATTATATTTAAAGTACGAATTTGCTCATTTACTCGAGTATTCGACTACGTTAAATACATATTTTTTTTTATAAGTACGTTTGCAAGAATATTAATGAATATTAATTCATTAGTTTCTATTAAACATGTCATAATTATTACTTTATATAAGTATCCAAAATATACTTACTATATGCGTTATATATTATTGTACATTGATTTTACCTTGACATACATTTTAAACACTTAATTTTCATTAAAACCCATCAAACATATAAAAATAAATAGCAATGTGGGTAAATATTAATAAATAAACCAAACTTATGTAGCAGTCGAACTAGTTACTAAACTTATTTTCAAATAAATCCAATAATTATATTTTCTTTTGTTTTTAATATATATGTTATACGCATAAAAAATGTTATTGAAAAATAAATTATACACATTGATTTTCTTTTCTAATAATTGTTTTTTTTTTCAAATGATGTTATATATGAAATATTACACCTATACCGCATACATTTTACCTTTTTATATAAATATATATATGAGTAAAAGATATACTTTTAATGTAAGAGTATAATAAAATACGGTGTAATTTTCTTTAAACCAGCGATATGCACGTTATTATATTATATGTATTATGCTATCCCGTTTTTTCTCAATAGTGCATGAACACTACTATGGGTTCACTCTGTAGTCATACCTAACATCTATGTCATATCGAATAATAAATTGTCAATTTTTATTTTTACCGCTTTACATTTTCTGCGTGGTTTTTGTACATGGGTAATTTTTTACCAACAATAATTAACCTATATATGATAGTAAAATGTTTTCATCTGCAATTCTCCTCGTTTTAGCCGCCAGCCAGAACGAATAACAATAAAAAAAATAAAATAAAAATAACAAAACGAAGCCGCAACTGCGTATTTGCCCCGAGGATGCTGTGAATGTAAAAGGAAAGTACACCTACCCAAAAATAGTAAATATTGTAACATAATTGGAATATCTTCATAAAAATCCTTCACTTCCTCTAATGATAGTATTGAAACAATTCGAGTTGGCTGTAATATTAACCTCGAACGGTTTTCGTCGAACGTTGCATAAACGGTTTTTTTTCTGACCAATTTTAAGTCGAAAACTCGTATATAGGTAAAAAAAAAACCCACACGTGATGGTAAGATCGCGAAACCTTGAACACCCCGGATCGGTTATAGATATAGGTATAAGATATAATATGAAATTCATCTCAGGTTTCGAGATTAGTCTTCGGTTTGGCTGCGAGGTGGTGACAGTTATCGCTAACTGTAGAGCATATGTGACGCACGCGCACTGTTACTCGTATTATATCCGCATATGACAGCTACCCGTCTGCTAGCGACTAACTAACAACCGGTTACCACGTTACCGGTCCTGTTTGGTATACTACGTCGTATACTTATGCGTTCTTCTTTTCAATCGCCCTCTCTTTACCACGACGATGTCGACGACGACGACGAAGGTCCAGACAAAGACAATAAAAACGCTCCTATTTTTTTTATTTTATTTTTTTTTTTTTTTCATTATTCTCCAATTTTGTCTTCTATTTTTTTTATAAGTTGTATATATTATATATAATACATGTTATGTGTGTGTGCGCGCGCGCGTTTGTAGACGCTCTGGCAATCTAGGTGGTCCGATTGTGAGTTAGAATATAATATACGAGTACGTGCAGGTATACTAAGCATTATGTCGGTTTGTGTTTTGGATTTTTTTTTTTTTCTAAGGGTTAAATTATACATGAAATCCGGATTGGTATACGTTTTTGAACCATCTATATATATTTTTGACGACTCATTTCGATTAACCGTATATTAAGTCACGCTACCGAAAAAATCGACCCTCGGTAACAATATTATATACGAAGGTATGTTTAACGATGTGTCGCATCTCTAGAACAAGATTGTCAAAACTTAAAATGTATAATTTTGAAAAAAAACGATTTGAAGTTCATTTTGAGATGTGGCTGTATTGCATATACACAAAATGATTTTAAGATAGCTATATACTAAAAAATGGCAGTACTGCGCTGAACATAATGAATATATATTAGAATTATTACCAGAAAATGATTTTGTGTATAGCACAAGAACGCCACAAATCGAAATAAGGCAGTCTTGAATTTTGACTTTAGTAATTAAATAGATAAATCATAGAGTCATAAAGTAAAATATATTGCTTCGTTGCTTTGAAAATTCAATAATTCTTTGCTGACACATCTTTTTAGTGGTAAAATGAATAAATGATATTGAATATGGCGTTTATACATCCTATAGAGCTGAATTTTCGCTACCCGAAAGTGATCATAACTCAAAATTGATAAATATTGGGTTGTGGCAGTCTTGTTCTAAGGGTGTACAATACAGTTGTGTTTTTTTTTATGTATTTTTCTAGTCTCAATCATTTCGAAAACAGAAATCAATAAAAAAAAAATGAAATATAATGTGTTTACCCCTTTCTGCCCTTATTGATGCAGTTGCAATTGCAAATTAATCATTGTTGCCAAGTAAAATTTATCTTTTAAAAAGGGCGTATTCTTCTTCGTCTGTGACAATCGAATCGAATAGCCGTTTTTTTTATTAATTTCGCCAATATGACCCATAAATAAACAACAACAAAAAATTCAATTTTCGTTTCAAAATACTAAAAACCCTGCGATAGCCTGCTAAGGGTAGAATTTCAACATTGTAGACAGCGATTTTTATGGAATATGTACGAATAAGTTTCATCGATATTGGTATAAAACTCTAGACTTGTATAGTAGAGACATGTATAAAAGAAGAATTTAAATTTTACATAATATAATTGATATAGGTACCTATATGGGCCCAGCTGATATATCATTTATTAATTTTGAAATAATAATAAGCACTTTGTCCCCGCGCAACTCCTTAACGTTATTGTTATACCTATATCTAAAACAGCCTGAAGTACACATCCCATTATATACATTTTCAAAAAAACAATACACACAAAAATAAAACGTTTTCAATGGTGTATAATTATATTCATATATTGTGTATTGTTGTATTTTTTATTATTTCTATATTATATATGGGTACACCATGACCAGTCTCAATCGTTAAACGTTCTGAAGGACGAAAATCTAAAAGGGTTATAAACTTGTAATACACTATAATAATTAATAAACGTTTTGATACTCGACACCTATTCATATTATTATCCAAAAATGACTTTGCGAAAATTGTCGATGACTTACACAAAACAGCATAATATACGATTATTCGCTATTACATTATACCTGCCTAACATATTTATTTTTGAAACCAGCTATATATTATAAACAAAACTAATTATTTTACACGCCGATAAAAATATTATATTATTCATATTATAATATTATATTATTAAAATGATCAATTATTTTAAATAGTCATTTTTTCAACCATAGCTTTAAATAAAAAAGTGTTAAAAGTTAAATGTCAAAAGTTAAAACGTTTCAAACATATTTCATAGCGTAATATAGTAAAATATACAATAATACCGAACGTTTTAATAACGTTTTTGAAGACAAAACAATTATATTTCACGTTATCAAAAATAATATTATCATACAACTATGGTATGTATAGGTAATGGTGATTTATGAAGGCAAATAAAATTTAAAAAATACTAGGTTTAAGGTTAAGGTCATGATAAAAAAATTTGCGGCACGAGACAACGCTATATTATATTAGTATATGTAACCTCATCAACTCTTTTATATTAAAAACTTAAATTTAAAAAAAAAAAAAATTTATTTTCAAAATAATTAACGTAACACGGCGTGTATTTTGCCAATTTATTCGCAAAATGACTACAACAAGGAGAAGTTTTCCCGTTAGATCAGTTTCCTGTAAATAACGCCCTGTGGATTATTGTAATTACTTGTACATAAAAGTCCTCGACACTAACCCTACAGCTCTATACTTAAACTAAAAATAATATTATAGTATTTTAATCCGCGAGAAGTTTGTTATTGCTATTATTATTAGTTTTTTTTTTTTTTAGAAAATTTTTTGTGCGTTAGTTCGATACCTAACACGAAACCCGAAACAACATTCTGCTGACTTTTTGGTTAACCACAAACGCACGTTGTGAGTCATTTATACATTACATGTGGGAATACCACTGCAACCATTATTATATAGTCGGTTGCGAACTTGGTTATTAAACTACTATAGAAATTTCAGAATTGCGTTTTGGAAGCCGGTCTATAGAAAATATAATGTATTATGTAGTTAAATTTATACAATAGGAGGGGAGAGGGTGAACTGGTATTATTGGTAATTACAGAACCGTAACTGAAAAAAAATTTCGGGAGCGAGTGCGATTCAAAATTTGTTTAGGGTACTAAAGTCAGTCATGTGTTTACGTTCAAACGTACACCCTCGAACAATTTTTGGGTTTTTTTTTTTTCCAAGTCCAAGGAGGGACGACCGCCACTGAATTTATACAATTTGTCGTATTATAACTTTAGGTATACACTGTAACACGATTTGTATTGACAAAAAATCCGTGACGATGTCCATCGTCGGTTAATTATATTAAAACAAACAATAATGCAGATTATAATATTGGGTGTGCCTTAAAAACGTCAATCGAAGTGCAGACGTGTGTACACACTCGTATTATGTGTTGGGTATAAATCAAAAAAGCGCGTCTACCTATTGTTATTTCAGGCGCATGTTATTATTATAATATGCAGACCAGACGCGCCTGTACAAATTAAAAGCGGAACACAATGGGCCTGAAAATGTGTATTCCATTTTTCTACAAAAACTCGAAACCTAGGCGATCCGTGCAAATCCGTACAATGTGCGTTTAACGAACTTGCAGCGACAATAGCGCCTACATAGATTTTTCAAGTATATACGCCAAGCGTAATTTTTTACCAGAACACCGCCGCAGCCCAGTATATTATAAATTATAATAGAACCGCTCTCGCCGGTGACAAAAGGAGATTTACAAAACAATATAATAATGATATTCAAGGTCCATACGCGTATCGTATGGTTTTTTTTTTTTTTACATATTTGGCGTACCCACTATAATATTATAGATATACATACATATATATCCGTTATTGTTTTTTTTTTGAGAAAAATTGTCTGGGTTTATTGATCCTCCGCCGGGGCCGAATGCGGGCGTATAATAAAATTTTTTTTTTCTTTGTTAACTGAAATACAAAATAAAAGGACTGCGGAGAAAAAAATGTCGCATACAAACTGAACAAACTTTTGTTCGCTTGGGTACGGTTACGATATACGACTCCGCATTCGAGGTATTTGGATGAATCGTACCGAAATGTGACCTGCAGTTAAGGCGAATAATTATATGCCGTTTGGGAGGTGCGTGTTTATTCCATCGAAAATGCCGCTTGGGCAAAATGGCCAACAAATTTAAGTGGGTTTATATCAAGTACATAGATTAAACTTTAAAAAAATATAGCAACAATTTAAATTGTAATACAATAGTAATGTACATTATCGACTAAAAAAATAAAATCACGTACGATATAATATGATGTAGATTGTAGATATACAACTGGTACTGTAACTGTATGTTTATATTGTACCATTGTTTTCAATAATAATGACGAATACGAATATGATAAACTACGACGCAGTGCGCATCAAAGTCACCGAGTTTTTTACGTCGCACAGAAAACGATAGTTTCTCTCGCCCAAACGGTATAAATTTTAGTCGTCCACACGTACTATTAATTTTTATGGTCAAAATGATCACACTCACCGCCCTCGAAAAGGGTTCGTGGTGTAGTCGCCCTAGATATTTTGGTTACCGTCACACGTATTGTTGATAAACTCAATTTCCCAAAAATGTCAATGCGGTCATCAATTGATAATAATATTGTTCTCCGGCGATATTCCAAACAGTATTACGAACATTCGCAGCAATTTTATCACTCGTAGTGTCGTATCTTCTGGTAGGCATATAATACCTATTATTATTGTCGTTTACTATACGCGTTTACACACGCGTTCAACGAGAAATGAAATAATATAGGTATCCGAAGAGAACATTTATTAACGGATTTGCTAGCGTGGAGTTGTTTAGATTTTGCTTTTTACAATTCATGCAAGATGTAATTATTATACGCCTATTCCATATAGGGCTGATAAATGTTTCTTGATAGGGCGCGCGCGGTCACTCGTGATTCAAACGCACAAAGAGTGCGGCTTTGCACTACCTACTTTCGGGCCGTTGACTCGGTTTCTGAAACCAAAAAATGTTCACCATAGAAAAAAAAGAAATTGCACTGCGCGCGTAACGCCGTCGTGGGTTTCGTCCATTGGATTCCGAAACGCAAACAAAGTTATTAGGCGTTGTTCTATAATCTAACCTTTCTCAAACTGCGGAACGGCCTCGCCACCGGATTCACCCGCGGGGTAAGAGAACCTGCCGGGCCGCCACCGGCGGACAAACGCGTGCGAGAACCCGGTGCTCGTTCGGAACACGTAAAAACGCACGGCGGCGTACGCTTAACGTTCGGACAATAATACTGTTGTAACGATACGTCCGAAGGGGGGAAGAAAAATAAAAAAAATAAAAAATCCCGCGCGCGCGTATGCCCAATTAGGAAGTTGGCCGCCGACCAGTCGGACGGGTCCCGAGTGCGGCGTGCACTCGCGCCAGACGTGTGCGAGAGTCTTGCGGCTGCGGTGCAGTGGGTACGCGCGCGCGGGTCGAGCATTAATATTACTGTTGGATTTTACGGCGAGTCGCGCAGTCGAACGCGAAAACCATACGACATTGATAATATTCGGTTCCCGGAACCGGCGAACGGACAGACGCGTGTTCGCACATCCTTACCAATAATAATGATAATGATAATAATAACGGCGTAGTATACCGGCACGGGCCAGTCAATGGGAAAAGTTTTTTTTTTTTTTTTTGTAAATTGTTTTTTATCAGGGTTCGACTTTCACATTGCGCTCGCGTATTGCGCCCGCCTAATGGTATGCGTGTGCGACGGCGCAATAAAATTGTCGTCGTTTAAGGTGTGCTTACCCGCGAGTGCCAGTATTAAAAAAACCGGAGAAACATAAATAGCTGGTATTATTATTTACCACAAACGGTCAATTTAGAAAATAAGCGAGTACGTTCGTAATGAGAAAGAAAGAAAGAAAGAAAAAAAAAACAATATATCGACGGATTGCGAAAATAGACCTGTATATACCTATATACCTGTATACCCGAACGTATTATTTTCATTTTGCGCCTCGCCTCTACTGGAATAAACGAAACGAAAATGAAACGCCGTGCACAGTTCGACGCGTATTGTGCCGGAATGATAGTCGGGCCAGCCTGTCATTGCGTACACTCCAAATTCAAAACGGTTTCTGCGTCGTTATTAGGGCCCGGTTTACAATGCGAAATGCATTTTGGTTTATCTAAGACCGAAACACGCTTTCCGTGTACACGATTCGGTTCGTACAGCATACTTCAAAAGTGAAACTTTTTATTGTACTTGCCGCTGTTTTTTTTACATATTTGGATCATTTTTCAGCATTTTTCGGCAATTTATAGAGTTTGTTACATATTTTTAAATGCGTATTCAATATTCATACATTTTACGAATTTATTAAGTACCTACCCAATTCAAAATATTATCGCAAGCTATTTTATTTCCGTGAATTTTGTTTTGGTTTACGTTTTTCTTTATAAACACAGATTGTCAATCGTTATATTTATGATTTCGATAGTGTCTTTATCTTATCTGTATGACTGCATTAATGGCTGAGGCGCATCACCCGGATCAAACTAATGACAACTACACGAGTGAAACTTTTATTTCACATTTTCACAAAGTCGGATGATTCACTCGATTTTAATACCCGACCTGATTAACCACGTGTTGCATTAATTTTTTTTTAGTAGGCACTGCAACAATTATTACCGTAGTTAAAAGTTAATGTTTTCCATAACAATATTATTTTCATAATGTAAATTTAAATTAAGAAAATAAATATTTTTAGATATTATTCCTTTTTGATATAATATATTGTGAACTATGAACGCAGACTTCGGAACTATTACCGTAAAGAGAGCTGGTCAGCAATTTCCAACGTATTTAATTTAATGTACGAAAATACTTCATAGTTAAAGCAATGTACACATACCTACTCGCTTAACCTTCGCACATTCGTTAATATTTTATCGGTTTTTTTTATCGTTTATAGTGCAATGACAGAAATCAAGTATTATCACGAGACTGATATTTAAAATTTAGGCAGTACTCGTGCCCGTCTCTGTTAGAAAAAAAAAAAAAAACGCGAAATTTCAAAACGATTACTACGCGATAATAATGAGCTGGTATAGGTAATAAACTGTACTTGCGTTTTTTTTTTTTTTTTTTCGTTTATTTTATTATTAAGACACTTATTATGATAACCGGTGACCAAGGTTTACCATCCGTAAGTATGTCAGTGGGCGGAGCCTACTATAGTTTTTTGGCCGATGACAAAAAGAAAAACGATGATTTAACTTTGTTTAACGCAGTAACGCGCGTGTAAATACGCCGCCTCGTCTCGTAGTACAAGCAGTGCTGCTCGCCTATAACACTATAATAAGTGCGCCGTTTGACTTCACGGTTAAATAACGGCCGGCGTACTCAAGTTCGCAACCGTTCTTGTTGGGAAACGGACAAATAACTTGTTTGGTATACCGCGGACGTCGCGAACGTTACGGTATGCGCGCGGCCATTACCGTCCGTGTAGCGCGAGAAATATTAAAACCGAAAAGAATAAACCCACCGCCGTACGGCGAATCATATCGAAATTAACGCCGCGCGGGTAGCGGCCACGCGTCGTACCCGCTTGAACCGTGAGTTACGAGCGAGCAAATCGTATTGTTATTATTTCCGAATTGGACGGTTCGCGCTGTACGTTTTTTGTTGGTTTTTTTTTCTCTCTTCGACGTTCCGCTCTTATTTCGGACGTTATCGATTCCGAGCGAGACGGCGAGTGCGCCGGTTTTACTGCGACGGCGTGATTTGTCGTAAACGTCCGTGTGCAAACTTTTCTACCGAAACCCGACCGACAGCTTTCCTGTGTAGCGTTCCGGCCCTACAGCCGGCCCGCGCACCGGGGCTGGACGCGTTTCGAACATTATCGTTTACGGTTCCGTCGATCGCGGGTAAAACCCGTGGAAACGGCTCGGTTGGTTTCGATTTCAAACGGTCAGGTTGTGACCGAACTGTGTTTACCACAAAGGTTTACGGCGTTACAATTATTTAATAACAACAACGCGCGCGCCTCTTATAATCAATAACGTTTCCCATCGAAAGCGCCGATATCACCGTGTGGTTATGTAATTTTTTTAACGTCTACAGTATTTAATTAACGAATATCCCGTTCCCGTATTCGTATTATTATTTTTTAACAGTGAATTATGACACGTCCATACCGTAGTATAATATATTGTTTTAATTTTATAAATACGTTTTTCGACTTTTTTTTTCCATTATTATACATATTTCAATCACGTTTTTACATCTAAACACTAACTGTATAATTATACATCGTATTATCATAATATGCTATAGTTATTTTTTCAATTACATAAAAAAAATTAATATATACTAGTTTTATGTTATAAAAAAATAGTAGACACGATGAGTTATGTACTTGAATTGTAAAATATTTTAATGAACACTATTATTCGTTATACAGGGTGATCCATTTATCATGAACCAGCGATTTTCTCGGTGGGTTTTAAGTAAATTTGATTTTTTTTCGGTTTTACCACGATGTTTATTTTTTTTTTATGTGAATACTTTTTCTACCAGAGAGTATACTCCGATTATCAAGTATAGCACCTTTTCCGAAAGGAAATGTTCTCTGGGTGATACTAGAGAGGTCATTTGAAATTCTCATTAATATTCGAGATGATGAGGAAAACATCGGTCTTTAGAAAACCCCCGCCTTTTTTAAACATAGATTCCTACTGGAAAATCAAAGACCGAAAATCAAATTCGCTTAAAACCATCCAAGCAGATCACTGGTAAATTATTCGTAATAAACACAGTTATCGTCCATACAAACAATAACTTATTAAAAAAAAATTGCATATTTTCCACGTTTAAAAAGCACTATTATCGTCAATAATAATTTATAGTTTGTATTTTATAGTTTTCATTTATATTATTGAAATTTTAATGAAATGTAGAAATAATATCACATAATATCGTTTAAAACATACTAATGCTGGTGAAATAATCACGGCAGTTTACATGCGTCCAGTATTATAAACACGTGCAGTCTAACATATTAACATTATTCGTACTTATTTATTATGTACAGCCGTCTTTGATAGCTTAAAATAGTTTTAAAAAAATATTTGGACACGAGTGGTATAATACTATGTATACTTTGGTCAAAGACAAAAAAAAACATTCGTGTCGCCTCCGTCTGTATATAATAAAACTGTGGACTTGAACTCGTACGCTGCAGTGGAATACTGTTCCAGACAAAGTTAAGTTGTTATTAATAAAAACTCTGGAGATTAAAAAATAAAAAATATCATTAATAAAGTCAATAAAAACTACACGTGGTGCGTTCGGCAATCTGCAGCTGGATGAACAACAAACAATATAACATAAAATATCGTGTAAAATGAGATAAAAAGAACAGAAACACACATTTTCTGACTACCGGAAATGCGATTATAGTGAGGGAAATTATATAAAAACAAAGAGCTGATACTGCCGCGATGCGGGAAGTTGGGAAGGTTGGATTCACAGAAAGCGATTGTTTATATCAGTGTACACGACGATAAATCGTCGATAACGAAAAACTATACTCGGTGAAATTCGGTTAAACTTGTTTTGTGATATGTTCATTTGTACGATTTTCGTTAAACTTTCAACTAAAACGCCTGTAAAAAATCGTTTGATGACTACGGATTTTCGGTATTTTTATAGTGACATAATAACAACTTGTGATGAACCTAACAGTTTTGAGTTTCCGGAAAACTGTTATTTACATAAAACCGAATAAAAACTAAATAAAACAACGCACCAACCGATTCGCCGTCGGAAACTACTCGTAAAGTCGACGAGCAGAAGGAAGACTTGCGGTAAAAAAAAAAAAAGTCGTTCTTATTAAAAAAAATTGTAAAAATAGGAAACCCGAACGCAGTCCCAGCTCAGAATCGAAAGAATAAAGCGCATAGAAGACATTCGCGTGTTTGCCGTCTCCGTCTATTGGACACGCGCTGCGCGGCAGATTCGCGTTCAGCAGAACCGATTTCCGGGCTAATAGTTTTACTGTTGTACCGAATCGGACCGTTATCGAAACTTAAGGCGATGGCCGTTGTAATATTGCGACGTGCCGGTACGTCGGTCCCAGCGAGCTTTTCGTTTGCGTAAAACGCTAATAAATCTCGCTCGAAAACGAAAACGACCGAAAAAAAACCGCCGCGCCGGCGCTCGCGGATGACGCCGATAACGTTCCCTTCGGGTTCGGCAACGGCCGGTCGATCGGCCCCCGCGACATCGAAAAACGAAATGCGCGACGACGGAGACGAAAAATCGTTTGTTCGCGTGGGCCGCTCGCTTTTGACGCGCGAAACGCGCCGCGGTGCCCGTTGATATTTGCGCAACGCGTTCTCGTAGCGATTCGTAACGCTCAGTGCCGCGCCGTTGTAATTCCCCGGGCGTGGGGGGGGGCGTTTGGCGGACGGGGAACGCTCGTAGGATTGCTTCCCGGACATGAGAATACGTACGAAAAAAAAAAACCCCGCGAACAATAACGCGGTTAACGAGACGGTGCGCCGCCGCCGAAACCGCGCGCGGCGTCCGCGATAAAGCGCGTCTAATTACGTATTAAACGGCCGGGTAGGACGGCGCGAAATACGTTTGTTTTTTTTTTTTTTTTTCTTCATCAAAGTCATCGCGTAATAACAAACGATAACGACACGACGAACGGCGATGACCGGTGCCCGCGGTAGGAGGCCGTGCGCGAGATACGGTGGGCCCGCGGCGTGCGCTACAGGTCGTGGTGCGCGCCACGACGGGCACGCGGGCGCAATGACGGCCGGGTTAACGGCCGCGGGGGCCCCGTCCGACCGCCCGTCGGCAGTTTTTTCCGCCGGCCCCCGGGTGAGCCCGAGCCTCCCCGCCGTCCGCCGCGGCCCCGAAACGCGCGCCGTTGAATTGCTGCTGTCGCGGTGGGTTATCGCGCTTACGCGTCGGAATCGCCGTACAGTCCGATATTGTTTTGATACGAATACGGTGCTCCGTGCTCGTATATTTTTTTTTTTTTTTTTTTTTTTTTTTTTTTTTTATTATTTTTACAACGCGTCGGTGAAATTCGAATCATCCGAACGACTCGGACGCGAGGTTTTGCGCAACCGAACGTTCGTCCCGGTATATACCTATGTATGTATTATTGTTGGTTTGTTTGTTTGTTTGTTTGTAGTTTTTTTTTTTTGTTTTTTTTTTTTTTTTTTTTTTTTTTATCAATTCCGATATTTACGTTGGAAAATACGATTTCGGACGCGCGCCCCGTAGCCCGCCGTCATTCCGCATTGCAATAAACGTGCAACGGACATAACACGTCGCGCGCGCGACCTATTTGTCTGGTGCCGGCGGCGGCGGTTTTTTTATTTATTGTGTTTGACCAGATGCGAATCCACCGGATTTCGACGGAAATCGGTTTTGTCGCACCTCCCGCCGCACGCCGGTTTCACTTTTCCCTGTGCCCGCCGGGCCGTGCGGCCTGTGTGTTTAGCTGCACGTGATGCCCGGAGTTTCGCGCGGGCCATTTGCACACAATCGTTTTTACACATTTTTTTTTTCCGACTCGAACGCGTATAGATAATAGATGTACTCGCCTTGGAAATAAGTGCCAACCATCGTTATTATTATTATTATTATTATTTTTTTTTTTTGTAAAGGAAACAACAGCATCGTGTAGTATAATAATATACTGTGTTTTCTGCATCGGGCCTCGAGGGAATAAAAATGCGCGTTACATTAACTGTATTATTATACAGGCATTAGGTAACGACTCGTTATTATTCGCTCTCAATGTTATCAACATTTAAACATTAAACAGTTTTGTCGGAGTAATTTGATCCCGTAGCCAATCGTGTGTGTGTGTGTGTGTGTGTGTGTGTGCGTATGCTTAAATTAATATTGTTATTAAACTTTTCGGTTTTTTTTTAATTTTTTTTTTTTTTCAACGTGCTCTCTGGAAACGCTATCTAAGTGTGTAACGTTATTATAATGACAACGGTTGATTTCTTCACACCGTGTTATATTACACAGTCATTAAAAACTCTGCTACCGGGCTCATTATCGGGTATAGGGTCCGACGTCTATAGAAAATGGCGTATGTAGGATTTCGCCGGAGAGGGAGACGTTTAATTTGGGAATTGCGAAAAGAAAACCTAAATCTTGTATTTATATACATATAGATGTTTGTAAGTATGGTTTATAATAATTTGAAAGGCCTTAAAATTATCATTGAAACCAAACAGCTATAGGCGTTATTATTAATTTTTGTTTGCACGGCGTTTTTTTTTTTTTTTTATAGTGGTTCGGGTAGGTTTTCATTTTGAACGAGAAGACGTCCCGAGACGTTTTAAAAGTAAAACGGATAATCGCATAAACATGAACGATAGATACCGGGGAAAAGGTCAAGGGAGGAGATTAGGGAGATGTACCCTGTCTGTCTCTGTTATGTATCATATTAAAACGGATGTGGGTACGTTTGAGATTGATACTGACGGACTCCGTAACTACCGGGCCGATGCGTGCGTGGGTGGTTTCCCCCCCCCCTTTGAATGATCCACGTTGTCAGGGGCCGGTTTCAGCTATGGAAATCGTCGATCCGACCGGTAGAAAAAAAGTTAAGAGCCTTAATACAGCCAGGCCGGCTATAAAATATGATAGCAGACAGTTGCGTATTCAATTGTTATTGTTCACTTGATTGGATATTTTCATATTTCCCTGCAGTTCGTTAGAGAACAATATTTTATATGTTAAGTATATCGTGACACGAATGTCTGTACAACTAATTTGTGGCGCTTTGCGTGTGTTCTACAAGAATCAGAAATGGCCTTATTGATCATTGTTTTAATAAACGAAACAATTAACGTTCAATAACAATGATTTTTTTTTCCTTTCATATTTTGTTGTTGTTCATGTTCGTTTCACTATTTTTTCGAATGTAACTAATTTCTTTTTTAAGCAAATAGTATAATTACTGTAATACAACAATTTAAATCGCTTAAGGTTCTTAAAGGTATTCTTTTTTTCTTTTTTTTTTTTTTAAATTTCAAACTGCATTGCGAAATTTCGTGAACTCGCGTTTTTTTTTTTATTTACGGTTTTTATATAGGTAAAAAAAAAAAATGAAAATGATTTAAAATTAAATGTCAACTACTTTTACAGTGAGTACGTTACAAATTACATAATATACCCGCTGACATTTAATTGATTTCATTCGTCCGATTAGCTGTATTATGCGGTATATTTGTCACCGTGTAAGTAATTGACGTATTAATTTGGTTTTTTTTTTTTTATTATTATTGTTATTTTTCCTACGGGCACTGCGTGGAAAATAAAATCGAAAAATAAAAACGCGAACGTTTCACGTCGTCATACCGTATTAATACAATCGAAACGTTGCACCGCGGAAAAACGATGTAATTATTATAAATAGGTTTGTTAAAAAAAAAAAAAAAATGTAATACTCGATTAAATCGAACGCGTTAAAATAATGTCTGTTTTCATACGAATAACGGGCGATTGACGTGTGGAAATGAAACGTCGGATGTGCGTTATCTGTGTTTTCCGTCCGTCCGCGCGTTCCGTGTTTGAATATCACAGTCGGAAGGGCCGACGGTTACCGCGTTTAATCTCTCCGTTATTATTTGTAGTGCGCGCGTTCGAAATCGAATGCCGCGTCATCGCCGTTAAAAATGTTAATTATCATTAACATTGTGGCGACGATTAATATCGCGTCGCATTAGTGGAATCGCTATCGGGTATAATTTTTTAATTTTTTTTTTTTCCGGATTTAACTCGGTTGCGGGCGGGGGAGGAGTGAGGCCGTTACAGCGGTAGACCGACGGCGGTGCGTCGTTCTGCGGTTCGCCGTTCGCCGTTCGTCGCGCGCGATCAATTCCGTCCCCGGCGTGTTCCGCGGAAAACGTCGGGAAACGAAAACGCGCCGTTTACAGCCCCGTACGAGGCCCCCGAGTACGTACGGCGGACGAAAACACCGCCGCGGCCGACCCGACGAGCCGCGGTCGATGTCGCGATAAAGCGCGCGGCGCCTACTCGTATTTCCGCGTTATCGGTAGGCAACTGATCTACTGATGAAGTAGAAAAAAAAAAGAAAAAAAAACACAATTATTATGTGCGTGTGTACGGTTTTTTGTTTTTTTTTTTGTTATATCCGACCACGCAAAACCCCGCAAACGGGACGTTAAAATTGCCGTACGGGCGCTTGTTCGGTACGCGTCGCGTTTACGGTTCCGACGGCGTAAAACGGATCCGTTTCCGTTCGGTGAACGCCGACGAGAAACATTCCGATTTTGAGAACACCGTCGTGCGGACAGTTTATCGTGTTTATCCGTGTTCGTCTCTTGTCCGCTCGAAATACGCGAAATATATACGCGCGCGTACGTACGGTGTAGCCGCCCCGGCGTTAGGTGGCGATACTCGCGAACGCGGTAGGTGGCGGGCGTGTAGGAAAAATAGGCGTATGCGCGCGTAGCATTCCGGACCGCGGCGCGCCGTCGACAGAAAATTCCTTTCGGTCTTATCGTCGCGTTCGTTATTCGTGTTAATCGCTTTGCCGCCGTTGCCCGGTTTAATGGAATCGCGGCACCCGATCGTTAACGTGCACTCTGCGCCGTTGTTGTCTGCGGCATTACGTCCGTGCTACAACGACGACGGCGACGACAACAACAACAACAACAACAACAACAACAACAATAACATCACCGACGGTATCGACGCGTCTGCAACGGGAACGTTTACCTGCAGTGTGGCGCGCGTTATTTCGCGGCGCGTCACGCGAACAGCACGAAACCGTAACCGCCGTCGAAACGTTGCCGCGGCGCGTCGGAAAACGCGGGAAACGTTAATTGTCCGGCGGCGATCCGTCGGTCGGCGGCGTTCGACGGCGTAAAAATATTCGGTTACGGAAACTCAACTGTCGTTCGAACAGTATTTTAGTTATCGAGAAACCCCGCCTCCTCCTCCACCCATCCGATTTCCGAATCAGAACTTTTCGTCGAACATCCCGTCGAACGTTAAAAAAAAAAAAAAAAAATGTCCGAATGTTCGAAAACACGACGAAACATCCAAACAATCTCTATTTTTTATTATTTTTTTTATTTTTTTCCTCGTCCACTATCGACGGTGTAATCATCTCGGAAGTGACCGTCGCTAATATTTAATTGATTACTAATTTTATCTGCCGTTTTGTCGGTTACGAGGACTGGCGTACAAATCGAACGTCGGCATTGCCGATTATCGTTTCGCCTCTGAAACCGTGTCTTAAATGTTGCGTTTTTCGTGTGTTACAGAAAGAAATGCAGTGATGATCCAACAACGAGTCATGCAAGCGCTCGTGATCCTGGGCGCCTTGTTCGTCGCAAGTGCGTCCGCCGCCGCCATCGTACCGTGTCCGCGCCCGTGCAAATGTTTCACCACCGAGAATGGAATACAAGCAGCCAACTGTACGGACTTGCCGGATCAAATGACGACCGCGTGGCCGCAAAAAATTCTCCGGATACGCTTCGACGGGCACCGCGCATCGCCGATTATGTTGAAAAACAAAGGGTTCAACCATTTCCCCCAGCTCACGTTCCTGGACGTCGCCGGGGGCACGGTGCAGTACGTGGGAAATTCGGCGTTCGACGGGCTGCCGGACCTACTCGAGCTCAATCTCGTCGGGACCGGTATCAGAAAACTACACCGCGACACGTTCGCGACCAACCGGAAACTGGCTTTCCTGTCGTTGAAGAACAACCCTAGGCTCGCCGTGGCCCCGTCGTTCCTCGCGTCCGAATCCATAACCGAGCTCGACCTGTCCGAGTGCGCTCTGGGCGCGTTGAAAAGCGTGTACTTCAAAAGTCTGCCGAATCTGAAATACTTGTTCGCCATGAAAAACGAACTGAAAAGTCTCGGCTCGCAGTTCGGACCGCCCGGTCTTAAATACGTGAACCTCGCTTACAATCACATCGAAAACATATACGACGACTTGGACGCGTATAAGCGTTTGAGAACGATCGATCTCACCGGAAATCCGGTGAACTGTACCTGCGAGCTGTCGGAAACCGATAAGAAACTGTCGGGCAAAGGAGTGGCGTTTGGAAACACAATAGTTTGTAAAAACACGGGGAAACCGTTAGGCGACCTGGCAGAAGTGTGTACGGACCAAGAGATGATGGGAGACGACCCCGTGGACATGTATAAGGCGGACAACTTGTTGAAAATCGATAAAAACGCCATTCAATCTATGGACGAGATCGACGATTCTGGATCGGGTTCCGGTAGCGGGGACGGCGAGTTGTTCCCGGGGATTTACGCGGCGCACACTACAGAACAGGCGCGGAACACCACGCAAATCACCGGAGAAGCGAATAGCAGCACGGCGCAGTTCGAAGACGGAGTGGAAGAGGAAATAACTAAAGCCAACGTGAACGTTGCATTCGCTCGGCCCAAACCCGCCGAATCGGAAACGACAGAACCGACGGTCGACAACGCGCTGTCCGGCGAAAACGTCACGTCCGCGTCGGGCGGAGCGATCGGCAGCGCCGCGCCTACGATCGCCGGTGATCCGGAGGACAAAGCGACCACCACGCGGTCCGGCGCGGACGGCGGGATCGTGCCGCTGACGATACAGGCGCCGGAGGACGAGGTCCAGACCAAGGTGGCCGAATATCTAAAGTCCAACGTCGGTATTACGGGGACGGCCGTGCTGGTCATACTGGCCGTGGTGATAGTGGCCATAGTGTACAAGGCCGTGTGTTTGGGCCGGTCGAGACGCCGCGGCTCGGTGGCCAGCGACAAGGTCGTCGAACTCAAAGAGATCAAGTACACGGCGGCCAACACGGAGGACACGCGCGACATGCCGTCGCCGCCGGCCAGTCCCGCCGAGGAGAATTTGCTGGGAGACCGCGACAGCAACGACGACGGCAGCGACGACGACGACGACGACGACAGCGGCGCCGGCGGCGACGTCCGCGGACCCGGAGCCGGTGCCGGCGGCGGCGGCGGCGGTCTGCCGCGCAACGGTTTGTCGAACGGCACCGTCGGGGACCCGGCGAGACCGGACAACAATCGTAACGTCGCGCAGCAGCCGCCGACGACGCCGAAGGCCGAGGCGCCGACCAGAGTGATAGTCAGATTGGGCGAAACCCCCAAAGCTTCCAAACCGATAACTATTAATAACGTTCACTAAGCACAACAACACGCTCCGCGGCAGAAACGCGAAGTAGCTCCTATATTATATTTATTATATCATACATACGTATTAAGTGTAACATTGAAAAGTAAAAAAAAAAAAAAATAATAAATAAATAAATAAATAAATAAATAAATTGCCACGCGCGGCCCGGCGAGAAAATTACATATCCGCAACGTCCGTAGCGCGTCTACCGTTTTTTAATGCGATAACAACAATACATTTTGATACGCGCCCCCAATGTAAACATTTTGTCCGTTCTCCGGACGAAAACGATTTCGTTGTTTCGGGTGTGTGGCCGCCCCGTATAATAGCAAATACCGTGTGCGGATTATCGCGCGGATCGCGTTTCTGGCGTGTGACGAGACCGGGCGTTCGAACCGGACTGCGGCGTTAATACGACTACCGGGGCGGGGGGAGGGGGGGGGGTGGCGGCGACCGGGAAAGCCGTCTGTTCCGGCCGATATATTATTGTCAATACCTATGTCGCGCCTGTTGCCGTGCGCCACCGACTCCTCGATTTCTACTCGTTAACGCGTTCTTGCGGTCAATTATTTTGTTTTATACGTTTTACAACAGCCCGCCCCCCTATCGTCCTCGCCACTCGCGTTCATCTCGCGCACAGCAAATAGTTAAACTGAGTTCGCGTATCGAATATTGTAACCAAAACGCCATATTATTATTATTATTATTATTATTATTATTATACAGAATTTTACATCCGTTTATTTTTATATAGTACAGCAGAAACAAATATTTTGTATATGTAAATTTCTCGCTTAAATATTTAATATCACTATATTTATATTGTTTTTTTTTTCATTTTTTTTTTTTTTTTTTTTTTTTTAATGTAGGTATACGAAGTACGTTGATAGTACGTTGATTTGTTTTTGTGTAAATAAATTATTATATATTATATTATATTATTATATTTTTTTTTTAAAAAAAAAATTTCCAAATTGGATTTGAATACAAATAAACTACTTCTAATTTGTTTTAAGTACTTAAATATTTACAAAAATTTATAAAACACGTTTTCGCCACAGAAATCACGCCTTTGGTCTCATTTTTTAGAACATACTATATTACGGTGTATATTATCAGTATTTTTATTGAAGTAAGTATACTAACTACTAGGCTATATAATCAGAAGAGATGATAGAAATCCTCTTAAAAACGTACCGGAATGGAAACACCAGGGAAATAGGTCTCGAAGGAGACCTAGGAAAAGTTGGATTGACGTGGTCAAAGAAGATTTAAGAACTATAGAAATGGATGTATGGAGAGAGATAGATCATAACAGAAATAGATGGCGTGATGGTGGCAAAAACTCTAAAAGACTTTTGAAGGCTTCGAGAAGAAGAAGACCTACTTGATAATTTATAATATAAAAATCTTAAAATAAATTTCAAATTCGAATTTTCGGTAACTCAAAAAATGCCCCCCGAATTCTTATAATGCTTTTAAAAACTAAAATTTAAAATCAAACATGTTTAAAAAATGCAAAATAAAATTTCTTATTCCAGCTCAAAACTAGGCATAGAAAACGAATTAACAACAATACAAGTACCGCAATGCAAGCTTCGGAAAACAATGCAAAGTGCATCGAAATCCTAGATCTAATTATTACGTAGGTGTTTTGGTTCTTTTTTTTTAATAAAACTTTAAACTGAATAATGCCTGTTGCTATTTGCCGTTGTGATGATTTACATAATAATTTGATAACAATGTATATAATAATATCATATTTGATCGATCATGACTCAACAATTGTTACTGATGCTAATATAGTATAGGTACCTACTTGCCTAATAATTAACCCGGTGTAACCTGCTAATCTGATTCCGGACAAATGTGACTTCAATAAGTTAAATTAGCCCGAAGTCAAATTAACCTGTTAGCCCAGGCAAATATGACTCCACAACAATTTCATTAATTCTTATTTATAAGCATTTTAGATTGCTCAGAAGTATTAAGTGTAGCACTTTTTCTGAAAGGAAATTTTCCTGGGGTGGTACTTTACTGGAGATGATTTTTTGATTTTTCAAGAGTTTTCATAATGAATGGGGAAAAGTAGGAAAAACGGAAAATGCACGAAATGTATTATTTGAAAATCGTAAATATTGCAGAAATTTCGCTCCTATTTTATAATACAATTAACAACTATAAGTATATAATAATATTATTATAATTAATTTGTATTTGTATTGGATTTTATTAGCCGTAAGCACTAATTTCCATAGTCGTTAGAAAACTAAAAGAACAATTTTATAAATAAAAAATAATATGCAAGTAGGTATATAGATAAGAATTAATAAGCATAAGGTGTCATTCCCAACTTCCAACTTACAACAATAGCTTACCTATAGTACGAAATACGGAAACAAGATATTTACATGAGTTTTACACCTATCCTGTGAGTTTTAGCTCTATCTCGTCGGGCATTACCTTATTCATAACATTCAAAAATGACCACACACAACAGTGGCCTACCCACGGTATATCAAACATGTAACACCATAAGACTTTGTCCTGCTCTGCGTGGTTAAGTTCACTATTTCTTTGCCAAGTACCTTAACATTTAGATACTGGCGAACGGAAACATAGACCTAGTTTAGATAATTACTGAAAAAAAAAACAGAAATTTAAAGTGCTTATTAACGAATACAATAAAATACCTATAATACAAATAAAAAATATTCAATATTCCGATAAATAATAATAAAGACGCTAACTACACTAATTAATCGTAACCTATAATTCAAATAAAAATTGTAGATAAATACCAATAGGCTTTAAGTATAACCAATAGATAAGGAAATATAAAATTAATTGGATAGTAATAATTTAATAAATACAAATTAATAAAACTGTTGAGGAGTTATCATTTGCCCGACGTCACGTTTGTCTGGGCCTGCAGTCACATTTGCCAGACACACCGGAAATAATTAAAATGATAATAAACCAGCGTGTGAAACATCACATTATCATTATCGGTGTGTACAAACGGAACTCTTTCTGCTGGCATACCTACGACAGTATTATGTCGTTAACAATAGTGCAATTTTATGCAGTTGCGTCTGTAATGCGATATACATTGTACGGTACCTATAACATGTCTGTGTTCACTGCATTACCTGAATATAAATTATAAAAAAAAAAAAAAACCATTCGATATTAACCGCACCTAGAAAACTAATATTTTCATCGATTGCCGTCGAGACGGCGCGCGCGGTAGAAGATGTTTATCAGCGGATACATTTGAAGTACGGTAATATTATATTAGGCATAGGTACCCATTAGGTAACTCGCCAAAATTAAATTGCGCAAAAGATGCGATTTCACCGTTTCGACGGCTTCCAGTTTCAACATTATCGGCCGTGTTTTTTTTTTAAATTTCACACGTTGTTCGTTTGTGTTGCCTATTTATCTTAGTAGTACGTGCGACTTACGGTAGATACAGGTGCTTGAGTCCTGTGGTACATGCAGATACCGGTGTTATTACGGTAGCACCGCGCCGGCGCCAACGGTGTGTTTAGGATTTTACCAACGGGGGAGACATTGATTTCGTAGACCGTGTCATATTGTTTAACAATGCATTTTTAATTTATGATAAAATATGTTTATAATCGATTTACTGTTCAATGCGCCCTGCGATTAGCATTGAAATGGCCATAGCTATAGGTATTAAATATGATAGTATTATATGATTCGTTTGTATACCACAGGTAGACACCAATCGAACCTCCTCCGTATTATATCATAGCGATTCGGATAAGTCTCGTTATAAACGGTAAAAATGTACGTATACGTGTGTATACATGTATACATAACATAAACTGTCAACATAAACGTTTTCAATTTTTCTGTTTAAAAAATGAAGACAATTGGAATCAATGAAAAAAAAACAAATAGCAGTATAAATAATAAAAACCCAGTCGACGCAGAGGACACATTTTCCCCTGATCTCCCGCTTTAAATGTGCAAAATATCCGATTGACCGGCGGGTGCGTACATCACGTGTGTTGGTAGACGCGATCATCGGAGGACGCGCTCGTCGTTGCGCCGGCCCAATTCGGAAGCCACCAAACGGTTTTGACGAGAAACATTTTTGTACACATGCATAATGTATAAAAAAAAAAAAAAAAAAAACTACCTATTACTTTATAGGTCTTATAAATTATTACATCGGTGTTCCGACGACAGCCCGCGCATCGGCGGCACAAAAATTTATGCGTTCGTTTCAGAAACACGTCGGGGGGGGGGGAAACCATTACGGTTAATGGCTGTGTACTGTACACCGCCGTGTACAGTTCAACACTCGAACGTGTTTGACGCACGTGAAACAATATTGGTGTCCGGCCACACTACGACATTAAAAGCATCCGCACGTCTATCGCCTATTCATATTTTTATTTTTTTTATTTTTTTTTAATAATTACTATTCGAACTATCTCGTTAATCGGATCCGCGGGTGTCGCCGTTTCGACTGAAATATGCGCTGTAGATATTTTACCGATTTTTACCAAAAAATTATATTGCACGAAGTATAATGCAGTGCCGGAAAAATTGGTGTCCTTAATGTGTTGTAAAATGTTACAATACATTTCCATTTGAACTGCTACAACTTATACGTACCGTTCGATAGGTTTTTTAGAGACAGCTTGATAATATTATTGTTTTTTCTTTTTTTTTTTGACAGCTGTCAACTATATACGCTTAGGTAACCCTTACATGCATGTCGGTTTAGAAATTTCAAACTGCCGTCAAAATACTAGTTTTGACTAGCAATAATTTGCTAGTCAATTACCTCGGCCCTACGGCCTTTCAATGTTTTTAACCCAGTCCTTACATGTTGACCTAGATATTTTTAACTAGTATTTAGAAAAATATAATAGTTCACTAGAATGGATACACTATAGTACATAAAATGATACGTAAACGATACATAGTAACGATATATTGAAATATAACCTAATACGTTATTAAATAAATAACGTGTATTGATTAAAATAAAAAATAATAATAAAACGGATATTAAAATATACAGTGTGTAACAAGACTATTTGACATTTTTACATTGTAGTTACATGTAAAAATGTCAAACAGTCTTCTCACACCTTCTGTATTCTACGATTCAATTTGTGTAAATTGTATGGTGTAAGTTTACATTTATTATACATTTTCAGTCCAAGGACACCAACCACAGTTTCTTAAATATTTAACGGTTAAAACAAAATATATATATATATATATATATTAAATTTTAAAGTACTATATAAAACACGAAATTTTTATTTTTTATTTGTAAATTAAATTTCCGTTGGAAAAAAGTTGCGCACAGATAAAAAAAAAAAAAAAAAAAATACACATCTTTGTAAAACTATAATCTTCTTCACTCCACTCAGAATCTAATTAGTAGTTTTTTTGTATTTCATCTATTACTGTAATAACGTATGTAGTAGGCGATCAAATAAACGAACGGCGTTCTAAAATCCAAATAAAAAAAAAATGTTTTTGTGCCGCGGCATGCCGTCCGCAATCGCCATAATCACCGTCAATCTTTAACAATATTATCGAATGCGTTAAATCTAAATTGGGTTTATCACAAACGATACACTCAGACGATTATACGTCAAACTATTGGCCACACGACGGTCAACGACGAACGACAAATTCTTCGTTGAAAACTATTAAATTAGTTCAATCGGTAAATATCGGTTGTTCGAGACTACGGTTACTACTATGGATGCGAGTTCTGACGAATTCGTCCGAACAAACAAACGCCTGTTTTCCAATGGATGTTCACGCGTCAGAACATACGCAAACGTCGGCAGAAACAATTGAGCGTTAAAACAAATTTGATTTTTTTCCGTGCGTACTGCGTCTGTTTTGGCGTGATTTGGTTGAACTAATTTGGC